ATGGGCTGTGATCATCTGCCCACTGATGCCTGGCGAATTGCCCACTCTGCTGCTCTGATGACCCTCACAGTACCTTCAGATGGGACCACAAGACCCCCGTTGTTCTTCAGAGTTAGCAAATGGTAGCTCTGGTCATCACAGGCAGATGCAGCATCCATCACCAGGCTGGCACGGCAGACATCACAGGACAGCTTAGTCGTGGCTCGCCGCGCAACAAATCCTGAAATTACAATTACCAATGTAACTGGACAGTGTGGTTGCCTTTATACTTTACACAGGCCTATAGAACAACATGTCAGGTGAGAAATCAGACAAGAACTATAGTTTGACTACCTAAGGGCTAACAAGTAATCATGAGTGTGGAATGTATTCATTGTATTTATCAGGGGGATTTGATAAGCCAGCAGTTTTTCAAAAGACTACAAACATCTTTTGTGTTTTTCTTCTGACTGCATTTTTAGGTTCTTTTTGAAACACAGGGAAGGTTTTTTTTTACCTTGCTGACAGCTTTGATCATGACACCACTGAGCGTCAGCTCTGAGGTAGTCGCAGACACTTCTTAGGGCAACTTTCCACTGCCTCCTTCTTTCTCCATCTTTGGGAAATCTTAAACAAGTGCCAAAATGTAGGCAGCTTTATAAATCATTGTAAATAGTTTAAGCCTTTTCCTTTAACATGAACATAAGACAAACAATAGTTAAACAACAGGTGTCAAGACCAGGGGTGGATTTAGGACTGAAGAAGATCCGGGGCTTCACACACACACACACACACACACGCACACGCACACACGCACGCACGCACACACACACACACACACACACACACACACACACACACAGACACAAACACACACACGCGCATGACACACACTAGTCAACATCATATATATTTGTCTTGTACCACATTATTTTTAATCTGAAGTTACATATTAAGCATGTTCAGGGCAGAATATTGTTCCTGTTAGTGTTTAGTGTGAGATGATAGTAAATATTTCCTTTCTTTCTCCAACAACTGATAGTCAGCTAACTTTAGGCAAACCAGCAGCACCACAAATAATTTCAAATAAGACTCACAAACCTGAGTCAACACCAGTCTAATCAAAGCTGGGATTCTGTTGTTGTACTTTTTGTCTAAAAACGTCCTTATGTCCATCTTCACACATGCGTTTCAGGCAGAGAGAGTGTAGAAGAAGCCGACTGCTGAAGTGCTTCTTCTTCAGTGATGGAGGCTCAGGCAGGCTGTATACAAACTACTGCCAGCTGCTCCCTCTCTGTTGGACTTTGGTACTGCATGTTACTTCCACGTTTGAGATCCGGGGCTTTTCATAAAACATTCGGGGCTTGAGCCCAAGTAGCCGGGCCTAACGCTGCTCCTGGTCAAGACAGAAACATGCAATGATTGAATAACCAAGAAATCTTGAATTCAAGCAACTAAACTTTTTAAAATCACAGTTAGCTGATAGATCTTAAACTTTGCCATCACTGTTATTTCTAGAAAGCAGTTAAAAGCAAAGCAGATGACAGAGACTTATCAGCCTAACACAGTTGAATGTTTGTTATTGTTAAATCTTACGAACAACAGGTGATCCCACATTGTCGTGATTGAAGACATCGTCTATTAGAACATCTATAGGCAGCACAAAAGTCAGGCATGCTTGTTGGGTTTCACGTGTATTTCTGTAAAAACAAAGCCAGCAATTTCCGTTATTTTAATATACTTCCGTCTAAGTTTATTTTTTTTACATTTTTTAACAAAGTAAGCCGCCTGGAAAACAAGGGCA